CTCACTCACTCACTCACTCACTCACTCACTCACCCATTGACCCGTCCATAACATACCCGACGCGCCAACAAAGAGGTATTTTTTTTTACAAAAAAAAAAAACTCAAAAATGATTATCATTAAAATTAACACTCGAGGGAGAATTTTATAGGTGGGTTAATTTCTTTACGATACAGAGGGAGATGCAAATAGTGCAAGGAGCCTTTTGAAGCTAAGCAAGTTGTAATCCAAAATAGCATTGATAATTAGCTTACAAAAACAAACGCCGAGAAGACCGAGAAATGTCCTGGCGCCGCATAACTTTAACTGTAAAGTCAATATTACTTTACGAAGTAATCAGCTACTTGCAAGAAAATTAAACCGTCATTTTCGATATTCTAAATACAACCACGTCACCTGAGATCTGACTCCGTGTTATCTAAACTCTCTGTACCAAAGGGCGACTAACAAATACTATCAGATCGCATCCCTACTACGCGCGATTTTCGCGCCATTAGCGCGCGCTTGCAAGCGCGTGCACATATAAAATGGTGGCCTTTTCTAAACGGCTTGGCTTGCGAGAGACAAATGATCGGTTTTTTTTTTGTTTTGTTTTTTTCTCGGAAATGAGTACTTGGACCTAACAATTTTTTTAATTAGTTTGAATGCAGCGATCACCTTCTCTCTATACAGTGAATATAGACCAATTTCTATTGCAGAGTAACAAATTATCACTGAAAATGAGAGCATAGCAAGCACTCGTAAACGATAAGATGTGCCCTCAAAAACACTGCGTGCTTGGAATATATTGAATCCCTGTCGACTAAATATAGGTGGTTTTATCATGAAACGAACATCAAATCGCTCCTTAACATTGATGCAATACATCCATTGTTGTATTTCTCGTTTAACTTTCTGCCTATTTTTCTGCTCTCACAAAGCGTAAAGTGAGTGGTTCAAATATAAACGTTTCTAAAAGCAGATAATTTAAGGAATTATGGGGTTTATTGAGGATCTTCCTGTTCCTAAACGTATGACGGGACCCCCCTTTTTTATTTCAAAATTTAAGGTCTCTCGATATAAGCAGCCAACAGGCAAAATTTGAATGAAAATCTATTGTGCGTTCTTTTTCGGGGGAATGACCTTAAATCTAAACTGCCGGTATTTTAGTTCTTTCTCGACTTTGAGGTAAAAGAACGGATCGGGTTTGTTTTTATTTCCCTTCGACACAAGAAAAAATAGTTTGCTTTGCATGTGAACTCTTCCCATCGTCTGGCAATTAAGTACTCGATATATTTCAGTTTGGTTGAAAAAAAACAAAAAACAAAAAGTGCCACGGCCAACGGCATTAACTATAACATTTAAAGGAGAGAGGAGGGAAAGAGTGTGGAAAAATCAATGAAATAGCTTATTCATTCTGCTGGCGTAAAAGCTATCAGCTAACTCAATCTTAACTCTGTGTTGTATTAAAAGTGAGGTTATGAACGCGACCGACAAAACTCGCCACCTGGTTGGCTCACCACAATGAAAGTGACAGGTTGCGTTTTTGCCGTGTTAGGTCATCAAACAACATTCGTTTTCTCTGTCACTGGCTCCCTCGGCCAAAACAATTCTTTTAATATTTAGTTTACCTTTGGCACGCGTTGTATCACATTTCACCGAGCTTTACACAGCGATTTAAGTAGCCATGTTTGAAGCCGTCTGTTGTTCACGGAGAAGAAGACGAAATGATACATGGCTCGTGATTTCGGCCATCTTTGTGACTTTCTTAACAGGTAAGTCGAGATTCTCTTTTGATTTCACCGCATCTTGAGGAATCAAGCATTCACCGTTTACAAAATAAGTGATTTGTGCTTTAGACATATCAAGCGGCCTATTGGTAGCTAAAATAATGGTAATGCTTTTTAGTAACAACTCTTAAAATCCAACAGGAGCGTAACACAACGATTAGTTTAATTCAACCACCAGCCGCAAATAGTGTCATATGCTTAGTGAAGCCTAACCATGAAAACAACATTGGCTCGGTTATTGAGTGACTCGAGCCTGATCTGTTTTGTTTTTAAATTTCCAATGTTTAGAGAAAGCTAGAAAACGTTTATAATCATAACAGAGAAAGAGAAAATTATTTGTCTATTTTCTCAGGGACTTAGAATCGAGACTTGTAAACGGAAGATTAGAGATCATCGTTTTAAATTTTAGATTCTCTATTGTAGTGTTCGTGGAGGTGCGGTGGCCTCATGGTTAGTGCGCTCATCTCCGGATCCAGCGGTCCGGGTTCGAGCTGTTGCCGGAGTCATTGCTTTGTGTTCTTAGGCAGACACTTTACTTTGATAGTGCTTCTCTCCACCCAGGTGTATAAATGGGTATTGGCAAATGTAGTAATGAGGGTTAACCCTGTAATGGACTAGCGTCCCATCCAGGGGGAGTAGAATACTCCTAGTCGCTTAATACAACAAAACTGGGCAAGCTCGAGCTGTCCGGTTGTCCTCCACTGACCTGACGCAGACGTTACCTTTTCATTATGGTATTTGTCTGCGACCTGGCAACTCAAGATTACAATTTAGACCTCTGACGAAAAATTGATATCTTATAAACTGATTTTTTTTAAACGGAAATTTCTTAAGGGCAAATTTTGGTTCAATATCTTTGATCAGGTGAAATGTATGGTGAATGACTTAAGTTAGGCATTTTTTGTGCAACTTTGCTTCAGTCATAATCATGTTTCATGCTTCCTGAGGCGTTTTATCGTTCTTATTCATTTAACTTATTGTATTTAAAGTAGATCGATAAATACTTAAAATACTAAGGCAATATGATCTTTGTCGGAACAGGTATGTACTCTGGAAAATATCAAAAAGAATGTTTAGTGGATTATAACGTTCGTTACCTCTGAAAATATGGTGGCATCACTCTTTACTAGCTCTCTTCTTGCAGGCGTGTAAATTAATGGGTACTGGCGAATCTAATGCTGGGTTGTAACCCTACGTTGCACAGGCATCACAATCGCGGGGAAGCAGAAATACTCCAAGTCGCTTAATGATACGAAGCTTTGCCCCGAAGGATTCTTCACCCCACCTTTTTTTAATCTTGTCGGCTGTAGCGGCAACGATATCATATGGGAGGGGAAATTATTTAGGACTTGGGACTGAGCTGCATGGCCTATACTTTGAGTTCCACCGCAGGCGGCTTCAGTTTAGCGCAAAATTTAAGCCCATTTGTTGGAAGCAGTTACAAACTGAAGCAAATTATGAGTGAAAAACGAACACGAGATAATATCTTCATTACCTCAATAAACAAATGGTTGGCCTGTTAAAATACTGCTAAGACTTGCGTTAACTTGTTTAAAAATCTATGGTGAAAATGCTCTCAGCAAATTGTTTTTAAATTTTTAATCGTCTTTTTTATGGGACATAACGGGAACTGTTTGAAACTGACACCCAGGATATACATTATCCCTAAAGGCGAAGAAAGCTAGGTGATAAATTATCTTTGGTTGACTCTTTCCACAATTTTGTTTCTCAGCAGTTTTAGGCCACACGATTCTTGAAGAGTACAGCTGTGGACAGGAAGACATCGAGTACAACGTGACTCTCAGAGGAGGCCAGTTCGCAGGCATTTTCAGAGACCGGGGACCAGTGAAGAACATGCAGGAGTGCATGCACATGTGCTGTAATACTAAAAACTGTGACGTGGCCATGATGCACGGGCCAAAGTGTTTTAGCGTGCGCTGTTTAAATTATTCTGTTTGTGAGACGATTCCCGCGGATGATGAAGATATTGACATGCAGATTGCACATATGACGACTAAAGGAACAGGACAATTGAGTGAGTGTAAATAAGCGCTTGAATTGGTTCTGACAAAGTTTACATCTAGACAGCAAAGCCGCCATTTTCAAGAGCCTATTACAATATTCATGAGATGATTTTTCTGTTAATGATATAGGCATATCGGAGAAAGAATTCTGACTGACAGAATTGCTCAACTTACCGTACCCAAATTCGCAATCAGCCAATTAGAAGCCGTGTCTACTGTCCTAAATGCTACGCTATTAGGTCACTGAGCTGCCGTATGGCTACGAGATCATGGTCACTTGGCCGAATTTGAGTACGTTAAATACCTAATCGTACCTTTTTGGTACGCTTTGGCGGCGTACCAGACTCGTTTGGTCTCGCCATGGGTATTTCGGCTTGACTACGTTTCGCCAAGATACGAACCATGGCTAGACCACACTAGCCTGATATGCCGCCGACGCTTACCAAAAAGAGACTATTAGGTATAAATGTGCCTTTGTATCTTGTATATTTGCACTTACTAGCATTCGTCATCGAAGTAGCCTGCTTCCATGTGATGTCCTTCATCTCAATACTGTAATCTGCTTATTCTTTGTTGTATGGAGCAGGTAACGATTACTACTTTAAATGTCTAAGAATAGCTCCAGGAAGATTATTTCAGTATTTTTCTCTTGATTATTTTTACCGTGTACTTTACTTACAGCCAAAGCCTTGGTAAACGACAGTACAGACAGTTATGATCCCGAGGCCAAGTGTCCTCACAACGAGATCATGTATAACGTGAAACTAATGGGCGGATTAAAAGCGGGAAAATTCACCGACATTGGCAAAGTAAAGAGTATTAAGACTTGCATCAGGTACGTACGACGCTCAATCCATCATATATTGTACATAAATCAGTGAACCTTTGGGTGTCAATACCTGAAATAGTTTCCAAAATATCGACCAATACCCAACTCCGCCCATCGGCCTGGATACCAACAATGTCCGATCTCAGTATGGCTATAAAACTTTTCACTCACGTAACCAGTAACCATGCAAATTTATTGGTTAAAAAAAAAAAAGTTCTACTCCTACGAGATTGGTTTGGGACACGAACATACCCGTTACATATTTTGCGGTACCAATATGGCAGACGTGAAGAAAAAAAAAGTCAGTTTATAAGAGAAGGAAAGTTTCTATTAACTGACCTTTCTTTCAATTTTAAGATATTGCTGTGAGGCCAAAGTGCAGCCCTGCGACCTGGCCTTCATGCTATCTGATCGCTGCTATCTGGTGAAATGCTTCTCAGAAGATAGATGCCAGGCTATCCCAGCGGCTGCTATTGACCATTCGTTTAAACAGAAAATGGCGTTCGTGGCGCCATGGCTATACGAAAAGAACAAGAAAGTTGGTAAGTAATAAAGAATAAAACCCTTGAAAGAACTGTTCAGTGGCTTTCATAGACAACAGTCTCATCCACAGAAGAAAATAATCAAATAATCTCATCAGTTGCACGCCATCTTGGATTCCGTATTTACGCAATCCAATATGGCGTACAACTGATGAGGCTGGTGCTTTAGCGAGATATATTTTGTAGTGCCAGTCTTAACTGTTTTTAAACAGTTTCAGTGACCTTTTACATTGTGTCGAAGGAATATCAAAGACGATATGTCTTTTAATTTGTACAAACGCTTTAACAAATCGGTCTTCTGTATACAACATTAGCTATTTAAAGTTCTGTAATCATGGATTGTCCTTTCATATTCAGTGAAAATTCCTTCGGGCCAGTCCCCTCATCACTTACAGTGCATTCAAAGTAGACGTTACACAAAATCCCAGCTACTTGATGGGCAAGACGCAGGGCTCTTCACAGACGTGGGCCGAGTGGCGAACCCTCAAATATGTACCCGACTGTGCTGCGAAGACCCTTCCTGTGATTTAGCTTACATGTTTGGTCGCACGTGCTTTCTTGTAAAGTGCTACAGCGAGAGGAGCTGTCGGACCATCCCTGATGAGGAGGCTGTGCGTAACGACACTAATTTTGACAGATCTACTCAATACATCATTAAGCGGAAGTTTGGTGTTCGCCTCAGAGATGGTAAGGAAGTTTTACTGTTGTGTTACTCAGTTCCAGAATGGCTGTGTAGAAAAGGTCTTCTAATTCTACTTTGAATTTAATATTTGATTGTCTCTGGGGCAAATTCTTAACGTTCTCTGCAACTTAACTTGATTCGCTCAGGTTTGTCCTGACTCTTCGGTCTCGATTTGTATATAGCCAACTGGTTGGCCCCTCTTAAAGTGGGATTCTTAATAGTTCACGTTCAATTTGCAATTAATTTGTTCACTTACATTGTACTGTGTCCACATTGAACACAAGAGTTATATTTTCAGGGTCACTGACACAAAGATAACCTTTCATTTATTCAGAACATGAGACGTTTCTAGTTAATTTAACAATTTATACCACATTATCTGATATGAAGTATGATTTAAAGTTAAAAAGAGTAAAATTCTTAACGAGTTATAGTATGAATTTGAAAAAAAGTTGCCTGTGCATATCCTAATTATCTAATCCTTCCTTTCCTCTTATTCCACTTTTTTTAGACGGAACCCCAGTTGTGAGGACTGAGACAAACAAAGAAGAAATTTGTCGTTTGGATGGTGAGATAAGAAACAAAACAATACTGCAGGCCGGTATGGTTTCTGGTAAGCTCACTCACCACAAAGGTGTCAAGGACATTACGTCATGCATCAAGCGATGCTGCGCACAGGAGCAGTGTCACGTGGCAATGATGATGGCAGACAAATGCTATTCTGTGTTCTGCACAAATGAGCAATACTGCCAGCCCAAGCCAGCACCAATGGAGACGCACCACACAAACCCTACAGTGGCTTATGTAAAAAGAGGAGAGATAAGTTTTGGTAATGTGTATGCAGTACTCAGTCTTCTAACATTTAGACTGTTTGTAAACACTACGTTGACCGAGGTTTATCAGCGTGTTGAGCGGTTTAAACGCTGGTTAAAAGCCAACGATTAAATCATGCACTAAAAAAAAATTAAATATAATGTTTAGTCTCAGCCCAAATAATAGACATTAGCTTACACAAAAAAAAAAATTTGTAAAGATATAATTATTGTATTTGATTGCTACATGACATCAAAATTACCAGTCAGTTTGTTTCGCCTATCGTGACAATTCTCGCAGTAATGCACACGTTTTCAAAGTCGCTAATTGTTCAAACAATCAATCAATCTATCAATCATATCAATCAATCAATCAATTAATCAATCAACACGTTGCGTCTAAGACCTAAGTAAGCTCCATCAGAGGAACGCGTGTGTTGGCTCTGTGTTAACTTTGATCTTTATCTGCCTTTCAGCGCCCAAACCAAGGTCTGTGATGCCACTAATTGAAAGATTTCACCCTAACTTTGAGCAAGCTGTGGAAGAAGAATACGTAGAGGCTGATGATAATGACGCAAATGCTAGCAACGCTGGCAATGGAGACGAGGCCCAACAAAACAGTTTGCAGAGTGACCCAGGAGAAGATAATAACGGCGTACAAATGGAGGAAAGTGGTGAAAATAGAGAAAATGAAAATGACCAAAGTGGGAGTGCAAACAGTGGAGATGANTTATGAGTGAAAAACGAACACGAGATAATATCTTCATTACCTCAATAAACAAATGGTTGGCCTGTTAAAATACTGCTAAGACTTGCGTTAACTTGTTTAAAAATCTATGGTGAAAATGCTCTCAGCAAATTGTTTTTAAATTTTTAATCGTCTTTTTTATGGGACATAACGGGAACTGTTTGAAACTGACACCCAGGATATACATTATCCCTAAAGGCGAAGAAAGCTAGGTGATAAATTATCTTTGGTTGACTCTTTCCACAATTTTGTTTCTCAGCAGTTTTAGGCCACACGATTCTTGAAGAGTACAGCTGTGGACAGGAAGACATCGAGTACAACGTGACTCTCAGAGGAGGCCAGTTCGCAGGCATTTTCAGAGACCGGGGACCAGTGAAGAACATGCAGGAGTGCATGCACATGTGCTGTAATACTAAAAACTGTGACGTGGCCATGATGCACGGGCCAAAGTGTTTTAGCGTGCGCTGTTTAAATTATTCTGTTTGTGAGACGATTCCCGCGGATGATGAAGATATTGACATGCAGATTGCACATATGACGACTAAAGGAACAGGACAATTGAGTGAGTGTAAATAAGCGCTTGAATTGGTTCTGACAAAGTTTACATCTAGACAGCAAAGCCGCCATTTTCAAGAGCCTATTACAATATTCATGAGATGATTTTTCTGTTAATGATATAGGCATATCGGAGAAAGAATTCTGACTGACAGAATTGCTCAACTTACCGTACCCAAATTCGCAATCAGCCAATTAGAAGCCGTGTCTACTGTCCTAAATGCTACGCTATTAGGTCACTGAGCTGCCGTATGGCTACGAGATCATGGTCACTTGGCCGAATTTGAGTACGTTAAATACCTAATCGTACCTTTTTGGTACGCTTTGGCGGCGTACCAGACTCGTTTGGTCTCGCCATGGGTATTTCGGCTTGACTACGTTTCGCCAAGATACGAACCATGGCTAGACCACACTAGCCTGATATGCCGCCGACGCTTACCAAAAAGAGACTATTAGGTATAAATGTGCCTTTGTATCTTGTATATTTGCACTTACTAGCATTCGTCATCGAAGTAGCCTGCTTCCATGTGATGTCCTTCATCTCAATACTGTAATCTGCTTATTCTTTGTTGTATGGAGCAGGTAACGATTACTACTTTAAATGTCTAAGAATAGCTCCAGGAAGATTATTTCAGTATTTTTCTCTTGATTATTTTTACCGTGTACTTTACTTACAGCCAAAGCCTTGGTAAACGACAGTACAGACAGTTATGATCCCGAGGCCAAGTGTCCTCACAACGAGATCATGTATAACGTGAAACTAATGGGCGGATTAAAAGCGGGAAAATTCACCGACATTGGCAAAGTAAAGAGTATTAAGACTTGCATCAGGTACGTACGACGCTCAATCCATCATATATTGTACATAAATCAGTGAACCTTTGGGTGTCAATACCTGAAATAGTTTCCAAAATATCGACCAATACCCAACTCCGCCCATCGGCCTGGATACCAACAATGTCCGATCTCAGTATGGCTATAAAACTTTTCACTCACGTAACCAGTAACCATGCAAATTTATTGGTTAAAAAAAAAAAAGTTCTACTCCTACGAGATTGGTTTGGGACACGAACATACCCGTTACATATTTTGCGGTACCAATATGGCAGACGTGAAGAAAAAAAAAGTCAGTTTATAAGAGAAGGAAAGTTTCTATTAACTGACCTTTCTTTCAATTTTAAGATATTGCTGTGAGGCCAAAGTGCAGCCCTGCGACCTGGCCTTCATGCTATCTGATCGCTGCTATCTGGTGAAATGCTTCTCAGAAGATAGATGCCAGGCTATCCCAGCGGCTGCTATTGACCATTCGTTTAAACAGAAAATGGCGTTCGTGGCGCCATGGCTATACGAAAAGAACAAGAAAGTTGGTAAGTAATAAAGAATAAAACCCTTGAAAGAACTGTTCAGTGGCTTTCATAGACAACAGTCTCATCCACAGAAGAAAATAATCAAATAATCTCATCAGTTGCACGCCATCTTGGATTCCGTATTTACGCAATCCAATATGGCGTACAACTGATGAGGCTGGTGCTTTAGCGAGATATATTTTGTAGTGCCAGTCTTAACTGTTTTTAAACAGTTTCAGTGACCTTTTACATTGTGTCGAAGGAATATCAAAGACGATATGTCTTTTAATTTGTACAAACGCTTTAACAAATCGGTCTTCTGTATACAACATTAGCTATTTAAAGTTCTGTAATCATGGATTGTCCTTTCATATTCAGTGAAAATTCCTTCGGGCCAGTCCCCTCATCACTTACAGTGCATTCAAAGTAGACGTTACACAAAATCCCAGCTACTTGATGGGCAAGACGCAGGGCTCTTCACAGACGTGGGCCGAGTGGCGAACCCTCAAATATGTACCCGACTGTGCTGCGAAGACCCTTCCTGTGATTTAGCTTACATGTTTGGTCGCACGTGCTTTCTTGTAAAGTGCTACAGCGAGAGGAGCTGTCGGACCATCCCTGATGAGGAGGCTGTGCGTAACGACACTAATTTTGACAGATCTACTCAATACATCATTAAGCGGAAGTTTGGTGTTCGCCTCAGAGATGGTAAGGAAGTTTTACTGTTGTGTTACTCAGTTCCAGAATGGCTGTGTAGAAAAGGTCTTCTAATTCTACTTTGAATTTAATATTTGATTGTCTCTGGGGCAAATTCTTAACGTTCTCTGCAACTTAACTTGATTCGCTCAGGTTTGTCCTGACTCTTCGGTCTCGATTTGTATATAGCCAACTGGTTGGCCCCTCTTAAAGTGGGATTCTTAATAGTTCACGTTCAATTTGCAATTAATTTGTTCACTTACATTGTACTGTGTCCACATTGAACACAAGAGTTATATTTTCAGGGTCACTGACACAAAGATAACCTTTCATTTATTCAGAACATGAGACGTTTCTAGTTAATTTAACAATTTATACCACATTATCTGATATGAAGTATGATTTAAAGTTAAAAAGAGTAAAATTCTTAACGAGTTATAGTATGAATTTGAAAAAAAGTTGCCTGTGCATATCCTAATTATCTAATCCTTCCTTTCCTCTTATTCCACTTTTTTTAGACGGAACCCCAGTTGTGAGGACTGAGACAAACAAAGAAGAAATTTGTCGTTTGGATGGTGAGATAAGAAACAAAACAATACTGCAGGCCGGTATGGTTTCTGGTAAGCTCACTCACCACAAAGGTGTCAAGGACATTACGTCATGCATCAAGCGATGCTGCGCACAGGAGCAGTGTCACGTGGCAATGATGATGGCAGACAAATGCTATTCTGTGTTCTGCACAAATGAGCAATACTGCCAGCCCAAGCCAGCACCAATGGAGACGCACCACACAAACCCTACAGTGGCTTATGTAAAAAGAGGAGAGATAAGTTTTGGTAATGTGTATGCAGTACTCAGTCTTCTAACATTTAGACTGTTTGTAAACACTACGTTGACCGAGGTTTATCAGCGTGTTGAGCGGTTTAAACGCTGGTTAAAAGCCAACGATTAAATCATGCACTAAAAAAAAATTAAATATAATGTTTAGTCTCAGCCCAAATAATAGACATTAGCTTACACAAAAAAAATAATTTGTAAAGATATAATTATTGTATTTGATTGCTACATGACATCAAAATTACCAGTCAGTTTGTTTCGCCTATTGTGACAATTCTCGCAGTAATGCACACGTTTTCAAAGTCGCTAATTGTTCAAACAATCAATCAATCTATCAATCATATCAATCAATCAATCAATTAATCAATCAACACGTTGCGTCTAAGACCTAAGTAAGCTCCATCAGAGGAACGCGTGTGTTGGCTCTGTGTTAACTTTGATCTTTATCTGCCTTTCAGCGCCCAAACCAAGGTCTGTGATGCCACTAATTGAAAGATTTCACCCTAACTTTGAGCAAGCTGTGGAAGAAGAATACGTAGAGGCTGATGATAATGACGCAAATGCTAGCAACGCTGGCAATGGAGACGAGGCCCAACAAAACAGTTTGCAGAGTGACCCAGGAGAAGATAATAACGGCGTACAAATGGAGGAAAGTGGTGAAAATAGAGAAAATGAAAATGACCAAAGTGGGAGTGCAAACAGTGGAGATGATAGTGACGATAGTGGGTCTGGGGACATAAGTGGCGACGCCGTCGAAGGAGAACAAAGCGAGGATCAGTTAAGTGGAGAGAGTGGAACCGAGGACAGCGGCGAAAGTGGAGATGAAGACAACAGCGGGGAAAGTGCAGATGAAGAAAGCGGGGATGGAGACGAGGATTCAGAAGATGAACAACAAGGATTTTCACAAATTAGAAATGCTCCAAGCAACCAAGGCGCTCTTTCTAACTAGTGATACTTTATTGATAGACTAGTTGTTTTAGGTACAAATAGGGCTCCTTTAGGAATTCACCGTTGAAAATTAACGCTTTTTTTTTCGCTGAAGTCGTATTGTTACTATCAGCTCATCCTTTTTTTGAGCAAACCCGACGACCTAACCTGGAACGATCGATGTCTCTTGGGTTGCATTTGGATTTTGTTAGCTTGTTCTACCGTATGTGCTCTGCCTAGGATACTTAACGACAGAAAATGTTACCGACTGTACTATCGAACTCGGAACGAGTTTTAATGGTTACAACTGTGTAATTGAACGTGTATTTTCCATTTTCCAATTCCCCATAATTCACTCTGTTTGTCCCGCAAATTTTGCATCAACTGTTGTTGTGAAATACTCCTGGGTGTCTGCATTTTCCCAAAAGCATTTCACAGCAATAATTTGTGCAATTTTGGGGGAACAAACAGAGTGAACAATGGGGAATTGAAAAACAGAGAATTTACCAATTTTCAAGAGGTTTTCTAAGTACAATCAAAATCTCCTGATTTTACCATTTTTTCACGAAGGGAATACGGCTAATTCAGTACCACAAAAAGCAGCCCAAAATGAAACAGTGTATCTTTTACACTTCGATGTAGCTACGACAAGTGGCCGTGATCCAGAAATAATTACGGTTAACAACATGTTTTGTAATGGAACTGAAAATTGTGAATAAACAGAACGTTTTTGTAGATATTGTAAAACTGTGCTTAAAATCAGTGTTATTTTTGCAAAAAAATTAAAATATCGGATATTGGAAGTAAATCAGGAGGTGCGTTTGGGGGATATAAGCTGATCAATAATAAAAACACAGACTTAATCAGAGTGAAGAATAACAGTGAGTTTTCTACTTCAGGTATGTTTTCTACCAAGAACATTCACAGAAGACTACCAATCAGTGAAAAAAAGTCGAACTTGTCTTCTCAGAGCATTTTTTCTTCCCCCAATTTTCACCTCGTTTTTTTTTTTTTTATTATTTATTTTTTCTTTTTTTCTAGCAATAGATTGAAATGCATAAGATATGTTTCACTTTGTAAATAGATATTCTAATCGATCTCAGGTGGAATACCATACAAGAGGCTACATAGGATACCTATCTTAGAAGAAGTTAAAAGTATAGGATTTATATGAAAGAAAGTGTGAAGCGATAAGGGCGCATACACTTTTGGGCTTTGGACAAATCTGCACTCTTAGCTGACAAAAATCAACAAATGAAGCAACAGCTCTATTTTTTGGTCTACCAAAATGTTTATTTCTCGGTAAGTGTCAGAAAAATGACATAATACTCCTAAGCCTTATGATCGCGTTTCTGCTTGGAAACTAAATGGCCATTCGAATTTTGTCCTTTGTGAGATGAGGTTGCCTTAGTGGCATCCAAAACAATGGAGAACAAACATGGACGTGAAAAGATATTCACATGTGGAGTGCCATGTGTCGTCCTTGTGATCATGGTTGCCATGTGTCCGCCTGGTGATTCCAACCATGCAAAGTCATTTTTCGTGCTCATCGAGATATTCACAAAAATCACCAAGCCGTGCCAAAGCTTTTCCACTCGAGTAACCTGATCAATCAAGCGAGCTACATGTTTATCCGCCTCACTGGATTTAGGAGACGCTCCTGTACATTACTTCATGGATCAGCTATGGACCGTTGGCTCCACTTTGAGGGCGATGATATTATCTTGTTATAAGCTCATGAAGGTTTCTTGAAAAATCAATGATTTTCCTTCCCTCGTCAGTCGTGTGCATTCAAGTGGGATTGTGGGATTGAGATTCAAGTGACTCAAGGCAAATGCTTCAGGGCGTTTTGAAGGAGCCCTGGTCCGCTTAACAGGCGAAGCGTTGTTAAAACACTAGATTTTCACGCTTGTGGAGAACGATAAAGCTATATGACAATGCTGAGAATACCGCTACGAACAAACGGGACAGCGGACTTACACCAGACTTCCAGGACTATACCAAACCGCAAAACTGCAACTGCCATCGTCGAAAGATTTTGAAAAAAACTCCTACTCGTTGAGATAGCTGCCGGGGTTGAATAGTGTCAGAGTTAATGAATTGAGATTTTTCCAATAAGAACATCATTAATTACCTGCGTTTGTGATGCGATAAATTTCATTATTCTTTTTAGTAAAGTATATGTTCGTTTCTGAATCTATGAAAAAGTTCCACTCGAGAGATACTATCATAAAGTACAAGGCCAGTGACATCTGACAGTCAGGGGATTCCCTTGGTGAAAAGCGATTTAAATTAAGTCATGATCATCTCTGTCCATTTTGAACTCAGCTACATTTTGGGATACTCACATGGGGAGAAAAAATATATATATATATAAATTCTTAGTTGAAATATATCTGAAGTTTAACCTCGATGAAATTGTATTTAAAACTAATGTGTTCGCCCCTGATATTACTGAGGTGCTTTGTCAGTGTCGTTAAAATAGACTTTAACAGAGGTTGCTCCAGCGAAATGGCCCTCTAAACGACGGAACCAGTCTTCCTTTCAACAATTGCTTAAATAATAATTTGGTTCTATTCTGTTTTGGATAATTTGGTTCTATCCTGTTTTGTGGGAGAAATCTAGATAAATAGAGACAATCATAACATCGGCTTGTGTTTTTCCATTGTCTGTGTCAAACAAAAACAGGTATTTTGAGGTACCAGTTATCGCTTCCCAGTGTTCGTCCACAGAAATTCTTCATATATGACGGTATGCTAGTGCTTTTAATGACATAAAGAATACCTCTAAAGATTTTACACTTCTGCGTCACGTGAACATGACTGTGTTTGTGATTGGACAGTGGGCGAACCAGTGATGATGTAATTGTATTCCATTGTTCGGCGGGACTGCTAACTGCCCCGAACCTTCAAAACAAAGGAATATAATTTTACTATGGCAAAAAGTTAGAAATAACCATTTTTTTCTCTTTTTTTAATTTTATCTCTTGAAAATATTTCATTTAGGAATTCTTTTAAAATTTAGAATAATGCTACAATGCGGCTGAGAAGGAGAACCTTGACAAGTCAAAGGAACATGTACATTCGAGTATTGCTGATATGCCTCTGTGTCCTTTGTAAAGGTAAGTAAATTCGCGCAGATCGATTTCTTTGGTTATCCAGTTGTGTGTGCTAAAATACTGTTTGACTAATATTTATTCGTGTGTGAATCTAGTCAAGTGCTCCTCCAACTACCTCGAAAACTGTAAGAACACGAAAATCGAGGAGAATGTCACGTTAAAGGGTGGTATAGGAGCCGGGACATTTCGAAAGCTTGGTAAAGTGACAAGCATGGAGTCTTGTATAGAACTTTGTTGCAAAACGTCGACTTGTGATGTCGCGTTCCTCTCGGCGGCTAAATGCTATGGAGTTGAATGCGTGAGTGATGAGGAGTGCAAGGCTACAGCGACTGACACATCAGATATTAAGGTCCTCATAGCACACGTGCGAACGGGCCATAAAAAAGGTTAGTGCATGGGCAGTTAATACGGTGGAAGTAAATAAGCAGCTTTGAGGCTTTACGTGCAAACTTGGCTTATGTCGCTGTCAAGCCGGGCCTTTTACGGTAGTCCGTTATCCTGCTTTTGAAGAGAAAAGCGAGGCGTTATTCAAAGGCGGAAATGGATTATTTAAGTCTGACGTGGCATTGAATTTTTTTTTTTTTTTCACAAAAAGAAAGCTCTTATCGGCAATGTTCTCTTGTTAGCTTTATACTACTTTACTTTTGCATTCGGCTCTTGTGCTTTATGGTGCATGCGAGGACTGATTTTGCGCTTGGGATAAATTTCAGTGGAGCGAAAGATAATTTCTACGGCGATTAAGCTCATTAATCTTTGATCGCGTTCAGATTTGAAAGCCTGAAAGGTAGCTAACCACCCGGAGAAGAAAAAATGGCAAGGCAGGTTGTTAAGCGACGTTCTCCAGCTTTCCGTTAAAAATGGCGTTTTGACGATGATATTTTCGGAAGTTCACTTAACACTTTTTATTTTTAACTACTGTCATTTTTGGATGTGGAAAGTGTTTGCCTCATTTAAAAAAGTCTTGACATCAAAAACTCAAAAGCTTCGTTATACGAGGTTACAAGGCGATTCACGATTACAAGCTGGGACAACGAGCTGTTTCGAGACGCTTTTGAGAGGGACTGTCAGCGACTTAACGCCAAAGTCATATTTAAATATATATATATATATTTTTATCAAAAATTAAGTTCTTCAAGCACACACAACCGGATAACTAAAAACTTATAGCTCGTTTTAGTAACTTTCAAACCGGCTCTTGGCAATACTTGCAGTTTAATTAATTCCATGGTATTAATATGAAACCTAGTTATTTTTTGCTATGGCAAATTTAATCAGAGGTCCTTATTTCAACGCAATATCAAACTGTTTTTCGTATAAACTGCATTGTGCACCAGACCTCCTCGTTCTGGAACAGTGTCTAAGGAAACTCGGATGATTGGGTGGCGATGCCGAACAGACTGTTCTTACTATCTGATACTTAATATGACGAAAAATATTAATCTTCGGTCAGGTTATCTTTTGCTTAGTAAGGAGGAGAGAAATCAAGGGGACTTTCAAGTTAAAAAAAACACAGGATGATCTTTCTTCAGTGCTATACATGTTTTCAGAAGGGGAAAGGATAGCTTGACCGAAGTTAAAGCTCATTTCGGTACTTTCTTTTCCTGACTTTTAAATCTTAGGCTCTAATCAAACGGCGAACTTTACATGAGTCGAACGAAACTGAATCTAGTAAGTTCATGATAAGTTCGACGTTTGACTTAACTCAGCTCGTCCAACTGAATTTAGATCTAACAGCACGTTCAATCTGTCAGCTTCAGACAGATGGAACGTGTTGGTCGATCTGTATTCGAATTAAGATCGACGTTTGATCCAACGGTCGAGCTTTATCCATTTGGGTCGACTCAAATGGCAATTTAGTTCGTCTCGCGTGAAGATCGACGTTTGACCTTGGCTTAACGATACTAAATGGGTCCAAAATTTCGAAGCACGCAAGACTTTATATTTTTGCGGCAGTCGAAAAAGGTTATTTCTGGCGTTCTTCTCGTAGTAAATTAGAATTGTTTTATGATACAATCATGCCATAAAAGCTGTTTTATCTCTCATTTCCATTGCAGATAATACCTCGCTTGCTTTCATCACTCCGAATTTCACATCGAACGTGAAACCGCATCCGAACGGATTTCTGGGCCCAAATCAGGGGCTATCTACCAACACCCCAAAGGGCCTCATAGCCCAGGGACAAAAATCATTAAACAATGTAAACCCCTCAATGGCTGGACAATGTCAGCCGGGGAAAGTATTCAAAGAAGTGACTTTAAAAGGCGGCATCAACGCCGGCACATACAAGGATGTTGGCTCTGTGAAAAGCATGGAGGAATGTTCAAGTAAATGTTGCGAGTTTGCGGCGTGTGATTTAGCATTTATGCTTTCTAGTAGATGTTATCTTGTTGGATGTTCGGAAGGCAAGAACTGTCAAATACAAAAAGCAAAGCCTTCCCCCTATCATCCTTCTGTGACTTACATTGAGCGATGGAACAAGGAAGGTGTCAAACATTCAGGTAATTAAGAAGCAGTTTACTGGGTTTATTATTCAGATATGTTTTTGCAAACATGAGCTTTCTTCAGGCTCAGAATGCCGCTCGCTGTCCAACGAGGTGTTAAAGCGTACGCGACAATGCCGATTGGTATCATGGGTAATACTAGTTTGGTGTTACTGGTTGAGGTTCACGGTGGCTCAAAAAGGAAGGAGAAAGCTTGAATACACGTGTTATTTCTGTTTTCTTATACCATGTTGAAACACCTGAAGCTTCAGTCAAGCAAACGTAAACCACCATTCATTACCCATTATCGCTTACGCTGTTACACTTTTGTAGGAACTGTCTCGAAATAGCTGTACCGAGTTGTAATCATAGTAGCATGACTGTAGGATTGTAACTTTGGGGAATGCGTTTTGTCTTCAACTATGCCATTTTTAGTATCGGAACGTATCGATTGCTTCCTCAGTTATAAATTGACAAATACCTAATTTGAGAATTGTTAGATATCTCTATTATCAACATGCAAATCGTTGTGATGTGTTCACGTTAACTGCATAGAGTAAACATTTCTTAAGATAGATGAACCTCGAAAATACATAGTAGCAAAGATGGACGAAGTTTAGTGTACGCGGGATTCAGGAATACGGAAAGTGCGTTCTTTTCCGAGAGGGACTGCAAAAAGAGGCACAGGTTCGAGAGGATTTCATTATAAAAAAAGTGTCATGTGTTTATACATGTAATACCTTCGAGAGGTTTGATGCGTGTTTCTTCTGTTTTTTTTTTTTTGTGNGCTAATAGGGTAATAATAGGGTAACAGGGTAATACCTCTAAATGAAATGGTATGTTAGCTTTAATTCGTTTCTCAGAAAAGTTTTATCTCGTCAATTCGAAACATTTTTTTTATTCCGTTTATATGCCCCGCCCCGGATATAGATATAAGCCCCGTACCCCTCCGTTAATGTAATAAGCCCACCCAAAACACCTTATGAAGTTTTATAAGCCCAGGGCTTTAACGTGAGATTTTACGGTATACGAAGAAGTATAAGCTAGACCATGAAAAGAAAAAAAAAGTGCTGGTACATAAGCGATCTTAGGGGTGGACAATTTGATTCTTTAGGAGGGTAGGAGTGATTTGGTATAGGCCTGAACATTTGTTAACCCTCTTATACACCAGGAATTTTTTTTCTCGGGACGTGTGTTGCATGCATGATAGTTTTTTTTTTTTTTTTTTTTTTTTAGTTTTTCTGAGCGATTCAGCTGAAACCAAATTCACCTGCCCGGCAGTGAAGCCCTTAACCAAGGTCACACTCAAAGGAGGACTTAAAGCTGGTGATTTTACAGACACCGGCAAAGTCGGAAGCATTAAGGAATGTTACGAGACATGTTGTCAACAAAGCACGTGTAACCTGGCCTTTATGCTGGGTCAAAACTGTTTTTCAGTCAAGTGTTACAATAAAGACTTGTGCAGCACCATTCCAGCGCAGCCTTCCATTTTCAATCCACAAATTGCGTACGTTTGGAATAGGAATGAAATGAAAAATGGTGAGTGAGCAATTTTTTTGTCCTCAAAGAGATTTTGCACAAGTAAATAGCGTAATTAAGTTACTCCTGAGAGTTAAAGAATAATATATAACTACTCCTAAGAAAATAAAATTCAGATCATATTTAGAAAACAAACATCGAATTTGTGTTGAGTTCCCCAATAAACAACACCTAGAGAATGCCAGACTGGGGTGTTGTCTACAAACTTGAAAGTTAGAACCACTTTGTACATCGTAATAAACAGTACCAGATGAAAGTGCTGCTCAATAGCTTTCACTGGAATGGCCAAACACTAGGGTTTCAAACACAGACGTAAAAGTTACAACCACCTTACATGAACGGTATTATAACTGATTAATAACAGATCAATAACTTTCACGCTTTTTACAATGTAGAAAAATATATACTCACATTATAGGGACAGTGGCTTGAAAGTATGTTTCATTGCAACAACATAACTCTTTGAAATACTTATTTTAATTTCTCGTCAGATTCACCGAAGAATCAAATACTGAAAGCACAAGTGGTTTGTCCAGCTGGAAAGGTTCAGGAAAGCGTCACCCTCGTTGGCGGAATCACATCTGGGTACTTTCGCGACCACGGCAAAGTCAAAGACATGCAGAAATGCCGCCGAATTTGTTGCGAGATGCCGCACTGTCATCTCGCCTTCATGCTCTCTTCCAATTGCTTTTCAGTGGCGTGCAAGAGCGCCAGCGCCTGCAAGACGCAGCCGGCTAATCCATCAAGATACAGTCCGAAGATATCGTACGTGAGGAATTTTGACACTAATCAGCTACTAGGTAAGATTTAGTTTTATCACAGTTTTTGTAAAAAGTTGTGTATTGTTGTTAGATAATATAGTAATTCATTGTGCTACCGTAAGATCCTGGTTGAAAGATCGCAGGTCAGTCGCGGCTAAGAAGTCAGTTCTGTGAGCAGCGAATAAACTATGTTTGAACTATTGACTCCAAGCTGAGTAACCCCGTAAGTGTGGAACGTCGCAGTCCTGTCTCAGATTTTGTGGACGCGAGACGGTTGTGTCGGCACTAAACGACAATTGGACAGTCTAGATGGTCTTAAGTTAAATCGATTTGTTTATCAATAATCTCAGGACTTCCAAAGCCCGCCGAGCAGCAGACGAAAGAAACTATCCCTGGCTTGGCGCAGACACCTCTGACACAACCTTCAATGCCAGGACAGACACCTCAAATTCCTGGACTAAACGCTCCAACTGCAGACGCAACGCAGACAGCTCAGTTTTCGCAGACACAATTACAAGGACAGACACCGTTGCTAGGGCAGCCACAGCAGCAGCAGCCTTCACCACTCGTGCCACCCCCACTACCTCCGTCACCTTTTGGCTCGCAATTGGGGCAGAAACCTATGATACCAATGCCGGGACTCTCAGTCAGTGACAACGGCGCAGGTTCGTTACATATAGAAACGAAACAAAACTTGCTGCAGATTTATAATTGAAGCCGTTTAATTATTGCTTTTTAAATTTAATAAATCAATGGTGATTTCAAAGTGACAGCAAGACAACGCTACCGTTTGTAATTCTTATTTTAAAAGGGACCATAAAACCTCGGGTATGTAAATATCAGAGCTCAAGTTCATGGAGAGCAGTTAACGGATACCAGAATTTAGAACAGACGGTGGAATGAAATTATGCTTAATCTCAAGTCAACTACGTTAATTTTAAAATCACATACATTAAAGTTAAAATGCTTAATCAACAGTATAATATAACAGTAACATCAAAGAGCGACGTTTGAATGTTAGGAATAACCTTTTAAACGACACATGGCAATTTATTCTGATGTTCTGCTGATTCAAATATCATCAGTTTAGATTAACTTGATTTAATCATTTTTCATTAAAGCGCATTTATGCTGTAAGATGAATACTAACGGAATTTTGGCGACTTTTTACACAGCTATGCAATTTCCAATGCCTCCCTCGGCACCTGCAGAACAAGTAACACCCGTCGCACCAGTGACTTCGGGCGGAAATCAGCCTATTGCCAGTCAGCTTGAGACAAAGAAAACAGAAATTCCGGCTGCTCAAAACGACCAAAGTCTTAAAAGCCAGATAAAGTCAGCTGCAGCTGGGCAGGCCATGACGATGAATATCGTAAACGGAAAGATTCAATTAACACCCGTCGGAGGATCGAATAAGTCCGAAGATTCTTCCGAGAAAACTTCGGAAAGTTCTCAAACTTCCGAGTCGAAAGGAGATAAGAAGAGCGACTCGGGAAAGAAGGAATGCGAAAAAGCGAAGGTGCTTAACAATGTTACTCTCAAAGGTGGAAAGAAAGCTGGAAAGTTTAATAACCACGGTGATGTCAAAGGAATGGAAGAATGCCAGGATATCTGCTGCAAGGATGACAAGTGTCACGTGGCCTTTATGCTCGGCAAGACATGTTACTCCGTTACTTGCAAGAATGAAGAGCTCTGTGAACACACCAAAGCTCCACCAACGGACTTTAATCCACAGCTTTCGTATGTGAGGCCAATGGAAACCTCTAGCAGAAAAGGTGAGTTGATTTGTGAAGAAAACCTATGAAAATGTACCGCTGAAAACGCGACCTGATTAGCTCCCCTGTTGGCTTTCACTTTCTCTACCCTTCCCCTGATTAATAACGTTCGTATTTACAATTCAGAGTCCAGTAAAGCTCCTACCATCCCTCCAGAGCCAAAGGACCTCAAATGCAAACACAGCAACATCACAAATGACAAGGACCTGCCGAACGGAGTCCATAAAAACAACTTCACAATCGTCAAAGACGCTAATTCCATGGCCAAGTGCATGGAAAAATGTTGCGACAGCAAGGACTGTGACTTGGCGTACATGGTGGAGAGGAAGTGTTATTCTGTGTCGTGTTCCAGCAAAGAGGATTGCCGTCCTGTATCGGTGAAGGCGTCCAAGAAAACACCTCTTATTTCGGCCATGGTGATGAAAGTTGAACCTAAGGAAGAGACAGGTAATAGTTTTGGATACAGTACCTTATTCAGTGCTGGTAATCTTGAACGCGATGTATTCCTAATTTTTGCAGAAAAAAAGATGTCACAATTCTTGAATAAACCACATATCCAGCTATCTGGAGGACCTCGCAGTGTCTTAAGCTGTCGCTAAAGCAATGAGTTATCATAGCAGTTGACCCTATTTCACTCGCTCGGGTTCCTGTAAACTTTGGTTAACTAATTCATTTATGGGTATTGATTCGTGTATTAAAGCAAATAAAATAAATGTAAATGACTTTATTTTAGTCAAGTGTCGTATGTATAAATTAACAAGTGAATAAACAAACGTTTCGTCCAAGAAAATGGGTTCAATTGTTACACGCGTTATGGAAATACTTGTTGCTCGAGGGTTTAGAGAAGAGAGGAATTAAAGCAAAAGGCATGACGGGTTCACCGAATAAGAGATACATTGGGATACTAGGATTTACAGTAGAGGGGAAAAGGGTTACTTCCAAACTCTTTGATTACCTTCACAGACTTGTCCGCGATTGCCTCTCCGCCAGAAGATTCCACAACTACAGATTTTGCATCCCAAGTAGGAAATTGCAGGCTGGACAGTAGGATCTCGAACGATATCAAACTCCGGGCAGAAAGTATAGCCAGTAACTTCACAGATATGGGTAAAGCAGAAGATATCCACAGATGTATCGGACGCTGCTGCGCTCGGCCTTCATGTGATATCGCTTATTTACTGAATGACAAATGTTTCGCGGTTCAGTGCCTTGATGGGGTCTTGTGCCAGACCAGCGCAGAACCTGCATCGCCAGGGGCAAACGTCAAGTTGGCTTATATGAACAGGGGAGCATCTGGACAGAAGGAAAAAGGTGAGTGTGAGGTTGGGGTGACAAGATCTCTGGGTGGTAAGTTGGTTGTTTAGGGTGGTAAGATCGTACCTCTCTCCTATGTCACTGGAATCTAAGACCTTATAACATCGGTGACAATCTGATTCACTGTACAGCGCTTCACGCCCTTTATAAATATTTTTATCCTCCTTTTCTGCAGATTGGATGATTGTGTACATTATCGTCGCTTCACTTGCGTTCGTGGCAGGAATTGGTGGAGTAATATGGGCGGTGTGTATTTGCACAAAAAGGTGAGAAGAAAATGTCATATTTGTCATATTACTTTCACGTTATGTTTGCCAGTAAGGCTTAAAATGATGAAATAGAAACTAAACGTCCATTTCGCACAGCTTGTGCGAATCTAAGAGCACTTTATATGGAAAAAATGTCTGAACCATTTTTACAGCTGACTTTGTGACTCATTGCAGACAAAAACTTCGCAAACAAAGAAGAATGTTGGATGATGAAGAAGACGACGAAATGCTACCCAAACGTAAGTCTGATATTCCCGTTATGATAAGTGAAGAAATTAATCGTTCTAGAAGTCAATAATTAACCTAGCAGGAGGTCTGGGAGAATCTTGACTGAGGTTGTGAGTACAGATCGAACGCAGTGACTTTATTTTTTTTTTTTTCTCATCAGGCTTTTTGGCACTTATTCGATATTTTTGTATTTTAGTTTGCAACTTTTTCCGAAAAATGTGACCGGTCAGGATGCCGGTCTAGAGGGGAAAATCTAGGCCACGGTCAATATTGATTTCAGCCAATCAAATTCGTGGGTTTGGTGATTCCCAGTCCTAGTGAGACACAGCCATATAATAATACATCTTCTAAAATAAGAAAGAAACCTATTATGACATTCCTTTTTTTTTTTTTTTTTTTTTTTTCTTTTTTTTTTTTTTTTT